ACACAACCTACATCCAAAGGTCAATAAACATCAGTGGATTTTCACAACGTCATCTGAACTGATTGACGTGAGAAGACTAACACCAGCTGCCTCACTAACGTTAAAAGCAAGAGCACCTCAAAAGTAAGTTGAAGAGTCATCGCAATAATAGCCAACAGTGATGGATGACAAAAAAGAGAGAGATGGAGGCATCAGCAACAGGTAAAACACTGCCACCATTTAGGTGTATTAGTGACACTGGTAGGATGACAGTGAGTGACATTACCAACGTCAAGGATGGGAACCTCAAAACCCCTCAGGACAGACCACTAGAACGCTGGGTACAACACTGAAACTCAGTCTAACTGGTCCACAGCAACATTTCAGTCGCCCAGCATTCAGCCGAATACTTTGAAGGGCGTTTCAAAATTAAAACGATGCGAAGCAGCAAGACATGAAGGTTTCTCACTCGACGTTTTCAAGGAAGAAGGTAGAAAATTACTGAGTATAGTAATGGAAGTAATAAGTAGTGTATGGGAACCACAGGAAATCCCACCGGACTGGTCTGCTTCACTGAACATTCCAGTGTATGAGAAGGGAGAAAAGCCTTCCTGTGAAAACCATGGGGAATTAGGTGAACTAATATCGTATCCAAGATCCTGAGGTTTATAGTTATCCCAAGCCTAGTTACAGCTCAAGAACAACAAACTCTAGAAAACCAGGCAAGTTTCAGACCTAGACAAGGGTGTACCGGTTAATCACCTTTCGATAGTTCCCGGAGTGCAGGCATACGTACCAGTGGCCAACACGCCAGATTTCTTGACCTTAAGGTAGGATTTGACTCTGTTGACCGTGAGGTATTTTGAGTATCTGACTGTGAATGCAGTTCCGAGCACGTATATAAAGCGATTCAAAGCTCTTTACTCAAACTCACGCAGATGCGTAAGCCCTCATAGAGAGTTGTTATCTAAATTGTCGAAAGCCAGTGGTGTCGTTCAAAGATGCCCACTCTCACAGTTCCTATCTAATTTCGCCACTGACGTACTAATGGACATAATCTTAGGTACGTCTTACTGAACAGGGATTGACTTACTCCATGGAGGGTATCTGATTGACTTGGAGTATTCAGACGATATTGTCCTGCTAGGTGAAGACGTTGACAAAATCCATGGTCCTTCGAACGTGTTAAGTAAGAATCTGAGTATGTTTGGCATGCGCTTCGTACCTGACAGATGTAAGATGATACTCTAGGACTAGTCTGCAACTACTCCCAGTCTACAGATAGGCAGTGAAGTGGCGGAGTGCATCGACCATCTCACTTTCTTTGGGAGTTGCATCGGCCCGAACTGGCTTGTTGCTGACGAAATCATAACCCGGATATAGAAGGCCCGTTTGGGATTTGCCAACTTGAGTCATCTTTGGGGCCGACTGGCGAGATATCTGACTACCTGTTAAAGGATGAGTATACTCTACTGCAGTCCGTTCTTTACTGTTATACGACCTGTTACATGGCCGTAGAAAGTAGAAGATATAAAGAGACTACAGATGTTTGACCGTAGGTGTCTTCTGAGCATCGCTAGCATTTAGTGGAATCACCATGTTGGCAATATCATGGTCAGGTGAAGGGTACTAAGCAAGACAGGCAAGTCCATTGTAGGGGTTGTGAACCTTTACCAAGGTGGCTAGAATAAGTTGGATGAGGTTAGAAGAGAGCTGAGTGGCCAGACCAAGGCATGGTACCAGTCCATGAGGTCTCAATCTTGGTCTTACCCGTGTGAGGAGGTGTAGACTATCTGGCTGGAGTCCCCGAACCTATGAGAACCAGTGGTTAAGCTGAGTACCGGTCACAATGGCCCAAACTTACTAACTCTGACATCTTCTGAAGCTTGACCAATGTCATGGACTTTAATTTTCAAATTTTATCTTTCAATACACATTTGTCTACTTTGATATCAGTCTTTTTCTACTCACTTGTTCTTTGAATGATTTTGTCAAGCATGGCAGCTTGAACCAATGCACTTGTGAGTTCTACGTTGACTTTGGCTTTCTGACTGATAACACATGAATTCATTAATGCAAACTCCAAAGTATAACTCTGATTGAGGAACTGAGCTTTACCAAACTAATTTTTGGATATTGTGGTATTAAAAAGATCCGGAAAAGCTTGAAAGCATACACTACGCACAGTGACCAAGCATCAAGTTGGCTAAATTTGTTGTAGTTTGTCATCATAAAGTCTATGCATGCATCGACTAACTATCACTAAATAAATCACATGGTTAGTCCAGTGAATGAATAGTCACTTCGGAAGAAGTAATGTGCACATTGTGACTCCAGCAAACACAAACTAAAGATCATTGCATTAAATAAGCATATTTTCTCATGTATACAGTTTTTGAGTATGTCAGAATCCTGAGCGGTTTGTACCAGTAACCGTTTTTTATCAAGGCTACGAATTTTTATGAAATCCTAATTACAAGAACTAGGTTGGCACACGAAAAGGAACTCAATTAGGATTTTCAGTGCTTTCCTATGAAACTATACTCTTAAATTAGAACAAACCAAGAGTTGCATGAAGATTCAAAGCGCGTGGTTGATGAGGATGCTGCTAAGATTGAAGCTTTATTATAATAATAACTCAGTCAAGTATTCACTGAAGACTGAATTCAACATGCAGAAACTGGTTCCACTAGTGATATTCCACAAATGAAGCCAGTACTCATTGAGGAAGTTGCATTAAAACAAGTTTAAAACCCAGCCCCGGTAAATCCAGTGGTACAAATGAACTTCGCATACTATCGGCACTGGCGGATAGTCATCTAACAACTATCTTCGCTGAATAGTTAGTATGAGTCAATTTACACCACCTATATACTGGTAAGATAGCATTATCAGCCTAGTCTATAAAAGTGGTCATAGATATCTCACGGGTTACCATCATCTGGTTAGTCTGAATAATCTAGTTGTTAAGCTTCGAGGGGTGATAATCTAAAGTAACATCAAAATAAAGTGGAAGAAAGAGGTTTTCAGCTATAGAAACTAAGGATTAAAGTGTGAGAGTTCTAAAAGGCAGGATTCTTGACATCGGATACTGAGTAAAAACCTACAATGGGTACTGTACGCTCCAGTTCAAACTAGCTGAAAGTAAGCAATAAAGTGTCTAAGTTACTTGTGGCTTCATATACCAGCTGATTAAAGGGTGGCAGCAACCACCAGTTTCTGCATCTTTTTTCTTCAGAAAAACTCTCAGAAGTTTCATAAAGGTGCTTCGCGTCTTATATTCAGTGTATTTAAGACCTCTTTTGGAATACTAAACCTGGTTAGCATCCCCATGTTTCAAACATGAAACCAAAATAACAATGCGGGTCAAGAAGGTACAAACTTGGGTGGTAAAATGCATCTCCTGTCTACCGTACGCTGAAACAGTAGATCAACTGGGTTTTTTCTAACTACTTTATCATAAGATTAAAAGCAATCTCATATTAGCATAGCGAGTCTCGATTAATGGTTCATGAACGAAGTATTCATATTCATTTCGCCTTTTTAAAACTACCCATCAGAAAGAACAAACAGTTATTGATTCAAGGTCAAACCGTCTACATTTGGAAATTCTTTTCTTATCATTATGAACCAGTGGAACCTTTTCTCGAAGCACGAAGAAACTACGCCTTCAATAGAACTTAAATAAACAGGATTGCTGAAGAAACTTCGCATATTTGGTATTAACAATGAGGTTCATGTCTGGATCATGGAATACTCACATTAGTTAAAGTAAGGGTGAATGGAACAGTTTCTGATTGGCTACCTGTCACTAGTTGCTATCTCTGGACCACTGTTCTTCTTTACTTTAGTGAAATACTGAACATGCTCCAGTCATCACTGCTACCTGTTGATGACGTCAAGATTAGGAGAACAGTCCATAGTGATGACAGGTCTGCACTCCAAACTAACATTGATGAAATGACTGAACGATCTAAGCGTTGAAGCCCGAAAACCAACTCTAGCGAAAAAATGATCGTGTTCAGTGAGCATGACTTTTCTGGTTGCTACTCAATAAATGGTCAACTAATATCTCAGGTTTTGGAGCGAAAAGGCTTAAAGTAACGCAGTAAACCACTCAGTCACATTGTGCGCACTCGTGTGGTAGACGAGTCACACTTATTGTGTGAGGGCTAGTGGTACTACATGGCTGCTTAGACCTCAGTAGGTGCAGCGGGGCTCGAACCCACGACCCATCAGTTGACAGATATCTCCATGATCCATTGAGCCACAGGTCCAAAAACCTAAAGATTATAGTAATTCAAAACCTCAGGATAACTCCTAACTGTCATGGTTCTGTGGTGTGCTTTGGTCACTTCGTAGAGCATTTAAAGGCTTCGATGAAGAGAGATTTAGGGCCCTATACACCACCTGCGTAAGGCATAACTTAGAGTAATTTATCCAGGAAGTTAGTCCATGCTTCAAAAAGGTAGCCAATAAATTAGAACGGATTCAAAAGGATCACTTAAGACGACATAAAAAAGGATCCGAAATTCGCGGTGTAATCACACTTGAGCAGAATACCGGTCAATGAATGGAACTTGTGATCGGATCAAGTGACAGCAGCTCCTTCAGTGAAAACATTCAGTGAGAAACTGGGCGTTGATAAAGATGATTATTTTAAGGATTAACACTGGCTAATAGCCTAACGTCTCTTTTATTGATAACTGAGGTCAATGGCCAACAAAGACTACTCATCAAGAGGGAAAAACAAAGCAATAAACTCATAAAGATTTGGAAGAACACTGCAGCAAAAACCAGTGTACTAATGACCAAATAACTGGACAGCCGCTCTTCTGGTTACCAGCAAACCTTATCGTCTTTGCTGATATGGACTTCTGATATTCTACGCGATGAGAAATTTTAGTGCAAGTGAGCGACAAAGTGTTGGGAAATGGTCAAGTTCTTTTGAAAAAAGGCTACTTTCGGAAGTGATAAACTGAATTTCACAAATAGGAAGTCACGCTAAATAACCAACCCACCAATTATCAAACGCCTGTGCATGTGCAAAACCAAATTGTATATCCTGCGAAGAATTTTTTATTTCCACAAATTTAATTTCATACACTTTATTTCAAGTAAAAACCCACTACAAAATTATAAAAAAATACTTCATCACAAAATTGTTTAAGTCAATAAATCTCTTTCAAGGCTGAAACAATATACAACCTTTATATCATATCAGGCACTCGATTTTCCCTCTTTTTCCGCATCATGTTAAATAATTTCATCCGTTGTGATTTTTCGGTTGTGGTCCCGGAGCAACATATAATTCTGTGTTTGACGGGTGTGGATAGGCTCAGGTTTCCCAGTCAACTTAGTGGACACTGTTCTCATATTCATTTGCCTGCAGATAGTTACACCGTGCTGGGGGCACACCGAATGAAATTTCGTCTAATGGCTCTCCAGTCCCTCAAATCAATTGTGTAGACTTGAAAATCACCATGTAACATCGCATACAACCGTATCCCGTGGTTTGATCAAATACCCGAAACTTTCTGATGTTTTAGTGACAATGGCATCATACCCAAATATTTACAAAGAATATTTAGGCTTGAAGCATGCAAACTGAGAATGTAGGTGAATCGCTAATTGCAGAAATTGAGTATTATTCGTTAATTTCTGGTGACCAATCCGAAGGGAAGTTTCTGCCTAACATGTAGTTGAATGCAAAGTGCCTAAATGTCACCTGGAAACTTGTTCACCTATACACGTATTCCAAGATGATAAAGCACACCACTTGGAAAGTCTGTGAAACAAATAAAAGTCTATAAACATCTAGGAATTGATCTTATGCCAACTTCGGAGACGAAAAGGGCAATCACTCATTAATTGTACTCGCCATATATTCAGGAATAGTCCCGGTGGAAAGACGACAGACCCAGAGGCCATTCACTAATTATTTGAACTTGCTATACACCCACGAATACGAAACCAAAGAAGACCACAATAGCGTAGTCGGGCGGAATCGTGTATTTGGATGGTCTAGCCAAAACACCGATGCTTTCTAGCTGACTAGCTAGAGGGTCTATTACGAGCAATACAATGTAACACGACAGCGTGCCAGATGACTGGGATGCTTGACTGGGTGTCTTCAGCTTAACGAGCCCAGTTAAACCACCAGGGTCAGCATCAATGTTGAATTTCGCCAAACCCTAGGCTACTGATTTTGGGGAGGTGTGTGGCGCTATAGATCGCCCCCCTCCAGGTGGGTTCATGAGGACCCTGAGACGATACCAGCCGGAAGTGAAAACCAGGTGGTTTCTCCACAATGGCAAATCGAATTGTACGTCGATCGCTGTCCTCAGTGTCCTATGACGTTCCGTTCAGTGCTCATTGCACCTGAAATATGGATAGAAGTCTTTAATACCACGAAAACGTTTCGTAAAATGGGGGTTATTTATATATAAATGTATCGAAAATAAAGTTTACGCTTGTTTCCACTTTTTTTGAAAAAGTTTCATTACATGGTAGTAGAATGTGATATAAAAGGTAAAATGTGGGAGGATCTTCATATTATCGGCAAATAAGTGAAATGGTGTCCCGGAAAAAGCTTCGAATGAAAAAACTAGTTGGCACACTTTATTTCACACTACTAAGTTGAATACGACTTCAAATACTCCGGGAACCTGGCGGTTCAACCTGATCGTCATTTTTGTTTCGCCGGTGGTTGGTGTATCTGTATATTACCGGGCACATCGTCCAGAATTCCTATAATTGGGCTGTCCACCGGTCGGCTAAAGCGAGTTGAAACGTCTCTTATGATGGGGTAGCCTTCGAGGTGAGCTGGCGTCAGACTGTCAACACCAGCAGCATCCTCACATCTGCTCTGCCCGGTTATATACAGTTCCTCATGTCGATTGATCACTCTGAATGGCCCATAATAGGGGGGTTCAGGTGATCGACGAACGGCATCGTGGCGAATGAACACGTATGATGTCTTTTGTAAGGTGGGGTGAACAAGGACATCATTCGTTTGAGGTCCAACAGGAGGGGGCCTAACTGAACGCACTGCGTTTGTAAGCCTACTCACGTAAGATATCCTGCCAAAAACATGTTTGAAAGTTGAAAGGGAAACAAATTCACCTGGTAGGTGAAAAGCGGTCCCATAGACGACTTCTGCAGAGGTGCGTCCAGCATCAGCTTCCAAAGCATTACGAATACCTAGTAGGACTGGAGGCGGGGCGTCCGTCCACTGAGGTATGTTTGCAGCTGAAATGGAGACTTTCCGCCATGCCATTTGTTTGTGGATGGTAGGCTGTCGTTTGGAACCGAGTGCGACCTAAAAGTGCAGCCAAAGCAAGAAATAATCCACAGTCGAATATGCGCCCACCGCCGGTTTTCGCGTAAGATGGATATCCACAGTTCACGATTTATGTTTGTACGGAAACACGAGCTACGGTTTGAGCAGCAATATCCTTAGTAGATACCGCTTCTGGCCATCGTGCAAAACGATCCACGTGGGTGAAAAGGTAAACACATCAATTGGATTCTGGTAGGGGTCCTGAAATACCCATATGGGCATAGTAGAGACGCATGTCCGGGGCTAGAAAAGAACCTAAAGGGCTTTTCGTGCCTCTTGACTGCACTTCTAACAAAATGAGCACGACCGAGCCCACTCCTTAACGTCTCTGTTCATTCCCGGCCAGCCGAAACGCTGCGCAATAAACCTGATGGTGGCTCTTGCGCCCGGGTGGGACAGTTTGCGAAATGTATTGGGGAGGTCGCGTCGACATTTCGTCGGAATTACTGGGCTTGGTTGACTGGCAGAGACATCCCATAAAATTGTATTCTTGCCTCATCCTACTGGACACAGTTTCAGCTTGAGAGTTATAGACGACAACTCATGATGCAGTTCAAAGTCCTCTTTTTGACGCCAAGCTAGTTCAGCGATATCAACGCCCTGGATACGGTTTATCGAAGCTATTCGAGATAGTGAGTTGGCTACGGAGTTATTTGCTCCAGAAATGTGGCGGATATCCGATGTGAACTGGGAAGTGTAATCCAGTTGTCGCGACTCACGAGGGGAGTGTTTGTCGGATGCCGAGCTGAGAAAGGAGGTTAACAGTTTGCAGTCTGTGAAAACAATGAAGTCACGACTTTCCACCGAACGTCGAAAATATCGTACAGAACAATACATAGCTAGGAGTTCCCTGCCAAATGTACTGTATCTTGTTTCCGCCTCTTACGGCCGCCTCGAGAAAGAGGCCAAGAGCTGCCACTGGCTGTCAGTCAACTGTTGCAAAACTGCTCCAATTGCTGAGTCAGATGCACCAACAGCCATGCTCGAAGGAGCACTGGGGCTGTGGTGCATAAGCATGGTTGCGATTGAAGTGGCTTTCTTGACTCTAGAGAAAGCAAGTTTGACCAAACTGTCCAGAGTCACGCAACTCATACTCCCCGAAGTGGATCTGTTAGTGTTCCCATGACAGAGACACAGTTGGGAATAAGCCTTCGGTAATAACCTACCGGGCCACTGAAAGTGCGGAGCTGCTTCGCAGAGGCCGACTCTGGATAGTCCATGATAGCCGCCACTTTATCTCAATGGGCATATACCTTTGTTGTCAGTAGCATGCTTAAGGGAGCTGAGTGATTCAACTCCTCTTTCACACTTTTACAAGTTGACTGTGTTGTCATATTTTTTCAGTCTTTCGAATACGAGGTCCAAATGCTTAAAATGAGTTTCCTTGTGTGGACTCGCAATGAGACAGTCATCGATGTAGACATGGACAAAATTTAAACCACGGAAGACGTCAGCCATAAAGCAATGGGATGTTTGTGCTGCATTCCGAAGGGCAAATGGCATGAGCAGGAATTCAAACGAACCAAAAAGAGTAATAATGGCCGTTTTCGCGATGTCTTCCGCTGCCATGGTTATCTGGTTGTAGGCTTTGGCCAGATCGACTTTAGAGAAAACGCTCGTTCCGTATAACGTCACAGTCAGGTTGTGAACATGAGGTATCGGGTGGCGGTCCGGTGTTGTTTTGGCGTTAGGCCCCCAGTAATCACCGGCTAGACGCCAGTCATTTCTATCCTCCTTGGGAACTATACACAATGGCGGTGCCCAAGGACTGTCCAAGAGTTTGATAGTGCCTAGTTCGAGCATGCGGTTGAATTTACTTTTCACCGTTTTCAGCCTATCAGGGGCTAAACGGCGTGTCTTGGGCACCACAGGCGGGCCTGTGGTTGTCACGTGGTGCATAACATTGCTGCTAACGCACGGAAGAGTACGCTTTGGTCGTCGCAGCTCTGGATATTTCTCTAACACCACCCGATAGGACTCGTCGCTCTAGTGTTTATTTCTAACGATGGCTAAACTCAGACCTACGTAGGTGGTGCCGCCAAAAGATAACTTTGTGTTGTTGTCTACCAGTCGTCGACGACCAGCATCTACGAGTAAATCGTAATGGTTTAGCAAATCTATGCCAATGATGGGCATAGAAACGTCGGCTGGGAGGTTTACGTAAACCTAAGTTGTGGTAGGCATACCGTTTCCCAAACGTTACAATTGCCTTGCCGTTGGCTGCTTGGAGATTGAAGAATGGGTCGTGATGACGCTCCTTTTTCGGTGCGGGAAGAACGATAACTTCTGCTTCGGTGTCAACGAGGTAGTGAACCTTCGTCTTTATATCTGCAAACGGCTGTTTCCGCCGGCTGCGGTCGCCGTGACCACATGTTGGTGTGACAGTTTCCCGAGTTTGTGTCCACGTTGAAACTGCATGGCTTCCTGCATTTTCTGGTTTCTTCTCAGCAGATGCCATGAAATCAGCACCATTTGGGTTTTCCCACCGTACAAGGTTTAGTTTTTGGACAACCACGCGAGTTGCTGCCACGCGCCGAGATGCTTTCTGTGATGTGCTATGTAACCTGGGACCCCGAGTTCGTAACAACAGTTTAGCAGAGTTTTACGGCTTTGTCACCTCTGAATCCTGGCTTTCTGGTTTACTGCAGACGAAATATACATTGAGGACGCGTCTGCTAGAGATCTCCGGTATTTTTTCTGCTCAGACTGCCAGGTCATTGGGTGGAACTGACTGAGGCGTCACCAACACGGATTCCACCCGTTGTGGTAGTTTCGAGAGAAACAGTTCTGGGAAAAGGCCACTGTCGAACGTTTATGTGCCCATAACTTCTCTCATGCGTGCGAGCACTTCAGTAACTGAGTTGCTGCCTAGCTCGGAGTCATGAAGCAATTCGTCTAGGCACTGGTGATCTGTGGGATCACTTTTCTTCGGTAGTGCAGCTTTGAGAAGTGCATAAGGATCGCTTACTCCAGGGCTAAACATGCGCCGTAACATGGCTGTTTAATCCCCGCGGTGGTGAAAGTATGACGGCAAGAAATCTGCATCGCCTGGCCAGTATGGCACGAGTCGGGTAGTGTTCTTAGTCGGCTTAATACATACAAGCTTGAGAGTGTGGTCGGACGTGAGGAAGAGTTGTATATAGATATATAAAAGTTATCAGAGTGAAAACAATACACAAATATAAAATGGAACAGGCTCACAAATTTAAGATTTGTTATTGGTCGGGATATGTTTTCACGTCAGGCTCATTAATTTAGGATTGTCCCGGTGGAAAGACGACAGACCCAGAGGCCATTCACTAATTATTTGAACTTGCTATACACCCACGAATACGAAACCAAAGAAGACCACAATAGCGTAGTCGGGCGGAATCGTGTATTTGGATGGTCTAGCCAAAACACCGATGCTTTCTAGCTGACTAGCTAGAGGGTCTATTACGAGCAATACAATGTAACACGACAGCGTGCCAGATGACTGGGATGCTTGACTGGGTGTCTTCAGCTTAACGAGCCCAGTTAAACCACCAGGGTCAGCATCAATGTTGAATTTCGCCAAACCCTAGGCTACTGATTTTGGGGAAGTGTGTGACGCCACACGTACCCACCAGTCCACGGCCAAGAAGGGACATAATGAGGCATCCAGGTGTCATACAATATCTGATAGACCGTGAAGAATGGCAATGGCTTCCGACAAGCCGGCTGGAGCATTGGGTTCGAGCGGTGCAACGTAGCACGACAACGTCCCAAATGATGTAGGAACTCTTTCCTATGCCTTCAGCTTGCAAGTCCGTTAAAACTGAAGGTGCCTGCATGAAAGTCAAATCTCGTCGAAACAACAGACCGCTGATTTTAGTGGATTATTTGTAGCTATAGCCAGAAGCCGATAAAAGTCTCTTCCCCGTTGTCAAGCGCAAAATCCGTCTGCCAGAATTCAGTGTTTGCCTAAGGAGCCCTAGAAATATTCAAAATAACCTTTTATGTTTTCATTCCTTCTGATAAACTACGCCGATAATACATCATGAAAACGCATCTTGCACCATGAATCACACTAACTTGGCGTTCAAAACTTTTCAATCCATCCAGTCCACTCTTGCCTAGGAAAAATTGTGGAGACTGCATGAAATTATGCATAAAACACTTCGACTAAAAACACTATTTCCTTTCCACAGTTTTTTAAACATTCTGTACATTCTTCCCAATACTTGTAAGAACGAATGTTGTTTACATATACACCATATACACCTTTTGGTCTTGGCGGTAACTACAGTCTTTTGCTGTCGCTAATCATAGAAATATAGCAAGCTTCTAACCACTCCAGCTTCTGTCTCCCTGACCGTTGCCTGTCGTGCATACTAACTGATTGTCTTGGGACTTTACAGGACTTCTGATCCTACTTCCAAATGTTACGACAATCAAGCCAGGCAACGAAGACTGGGGGGAACCAACAAATATCGCCTTCTGATCTCTGGAGTATCCAAAATTGTGGTGGACAACGCCGAAGAGGTAACATCCAAGTGTCCAACGGTTATCTGTAATAATGACAATACTATTTGCGTCATGACGCATAACTTTCATACTTCCTCATCATAAAATCCATTTTTTGTAAATTATACGTAGTTCGTCATTTTGGCTTACTTGACCTTCCACTACAACGTTCATCTGTACTCTCACGGTACTTAGTTGGAATTTCAGATTCTTGTGCTCACTGTATGAATCGGGTATGTCGGGTATCTTAACTGATAAGAACAAGACATGTATCAGGGAAGAACCATTCGTCTTCGGTGATGTCTACCTCTGCTGGTAGCATATTCCTTTAGGCCTTTTCGCTTGCCAGGATTTCTTTAGGGTGTGTGTTCCTCTCCCTTTCTGTTTCAGGTGCAGCAAGCACTGGAACGAAGGCCAACGAGGCACAAAGATTTACTGTGCGCTTCTATCGCTTTAGTTGTGTTATCTTCTTCGAAAACACCCCAGAATTTGTTCAGACAGTCAAGCGCCAGTAAACGCGGCAAGCCCATTAAGAGAAATTGACTGGTATCCAAGTCATTAGGTTTGTAATTCTGGCTGCAGTTGTCCCATACTGGTCATCTATATACTGGAGAGGCAGTGAACCGAAGCTGCGAGGTATTCCACAAAATCAATTTCTTGGGTTCGACAATATTCTTCACTGACACTGACCGTTAAGCTGAACGTACGCGATGACGCACTGACGCCATATAACGCGTTATAGCCCCACATTGAGTCATTCGTTCGCGGTCTCCTGATAAAATTGTTCACGTATCAAATAACTTCGGTACAATTCATAAAACACACACGATTACCACCTGACTAGTCCACTTGATCTTTCCTGGTTGGACATCAATTAGGTAGCCACCAGATTACTCACTCCTAGCCCGTCCCACTACGCGTTCACAGGAGGTTAATCCCATGCTCCATCCTTTAGATTTTTCGACCAGTTCATGAGGATCAGCTTGAGAGGAAAACCTATCATCACCATGAATGATCGCCTATACCTTGATGCCGTGACCAGACAGCACTGACGATGACTGAACCATCTTTACCACATCAGTAGCCTACAGAAACAACAGCCGTGGGCAAAGGATGATGCTTTGAAGTGCTTAACTGGCGATGGGTTGTCACGCAGGCAGTATTCAGTTCACTCTCACTCTCAGCATTCTCTCGTTTGAATGTTCCACAAGCCACAAACCATATTGTCAGTGAAAAATCCGTGGGGCACCTTCATATGTCCCGTGTGTGACATTTTATCGAAGCCCTTAATCCCCATAAACTGCACGTGAGCATGCGGTTTATTGTCCCTAGCTTGAAGACGGTCGTCTCCCACTAAAAGTGGGTTCGGGGACCGTGCCGAAGATTCAGCGTATCAGGCTTTTCGAGGTGCTTCTGTTTCTCATCATGATGTTAGCGAGAATGACAGTTTTGAAACTGAAAACTGGTTGCCTTTTAACCATCTCAAGCACAGAAATGACCACAGCATTCTTCCGATCCTCAGGAATATATGAGGTAGGCATATTTTGGATGTTGTGATTAATATCGCATCAGAAATTTGGGTCAGATGAGGCAGAACCTTAGGGCGCAGCCTGTCCGGTTCCAGCGACCTTCTGTGCTTTAACTTTCCAGGCGTTCAGAGTAGTTTTTCCTTGGTAATTTCAGTCAATTAAACTCAAGGGACGTTGATAATGGTATCAGCATCGAGAATACTGTCAGAATTACCATCGAAATATGCCGCCGCAAAGTAACAAATGGTCCCCATCAAGTTATCGAAAAAACACCACCACTTCTTCATACCCAACTAGTAAATGTAAGTGCAGGACCAAAAATTAGGGTAGCCAGGTGGGAATTGTATGCTTGATGAACTGTACCGAAATTATTTGATGTATGAATAGTTTTACCAAGGGATTGTGAGCGAGTGACTCAGAGTGGGACGATAACATGTTAAATGGCATGAGTGCATCACCGTGTACACTCAGCCTAAGAATTCGAAGATCCGCATCGACGGGTTTCGGGCTGTCCTAGGTAACAGGTGTCGCGTAAGGCTGATATGACGGCGACACTGAACGCTATACGGCCCTTGATCCGAAGATGGTAAAAACTGCCCACTGAGGCGCGAAATACCAGGATGCAAATATTGGCTTCTTCCTTCAAGGGTGACCTAATTTCGATAAAAATACACTATATTCATAGTCTTCATACATATATATGAATGCCTTAGGTTGTGGATGAAATAACTTATCCTGAGTGACTCCCCTACGTATGAAACTGTCCGGTAAAATTTATTCTGACTTCGTCGCGGCACAGACGAAAAATGTGAACTCAAAATTATTTGTCGCAATGGTGAACGACTTGGAGTGTCCTTCCCATATCAGCTTTATCACACCACCACTGAATTTAGGGAATTCTTCGCCCTGCCCGTTTCTGCCCGCCCAGTAGGTTCGTGGTGCTCCTGGGACGATGACAGCTGGGAATGGAATCCCTTAGCCTAGCCACTGTTTAAGGTATCCTTTTGGGCTCACTTGGTTGATCGGGTTCTGTTTGTTTGTACTTTCCCCAGTATGCACTTTTAACTTCCGCTTCTTCACCAAAGTTAAGCCATCTTAACAGGCGAGAAGATGCATGCGACGTAATTAATCTATCCAAAATGTTGCTTCGTTTTTATCGTACCAACTGAAATGAATGCATTTGGTATGAGTGTGGGCTTATATGAGCGAATCATCTCCATCGAGGCCATTATACCCTGAAAAGTTTCAGTGCGTGGTGCTCATTTACCGTTACTTGTAATTCCCTGTTGCTGCACTGGGTTGAACTGGTCGACCTCTGTTGTCACATGGACTGCTGTATGTATGACTCAATATATCCTGAATATTCATTGTTTTATAACTGGCTTAGTGACGCCTAGTAGTGGACTTCGGGTTGCAAGTTTTGTCCACGGGGGACGAAGCAACGGTCGCGGACTCAGTACTTGATAAAGAATGTTTACCAAAAGTAAAGGAGTTTTGTGCTCGAAAATACAAAATTTAGTTTCAAAAAAGAATTGATGATGTGAAACAGTGAAAGATGCAACGGACGATAAGAACTGCAGATTTTACGGGAAATTGACACCTGACAAAATAAAAGGGCACAGGTAGCCATACAATCACAGTATAACAACGCTGGGGACTCATGAAGTTCTCTGTCGCTGTTAAGTGCATCGTTAAGCTGTAAGACAGCCGCTTCCAGGGTATTTTTTGTAATTACCTCAAAATCAAAAGGACTCAGGATGTTCAGGAGTGAAGTAGAGATCGTATGCTTGCTGAAAATTTACCAGCTGAAGAGGTGGTATTTAGAAGAGTTTCACTGAAAATGGTGGAAAAGTCTTTCAGGTGACCAAAGCGACAGCATTCTGATTTTATACCACTTATTAAGATGTACTCCCGACCAGCTACGTCAGATAAATACGGCGCATGGCCATTCAGTTGGCCGGAATCTTACGTGCGAACTAAAATTCTTATAGTTTTCCATAGCTGCATCATTACTTTCGGTTACTAGAAGAAATGATAAAATTTGAAGAAAGCATTTTATGTCCTCTTCCTCAATTCCGCAGAGTGTCATTTCCATTTTCCTTTTGCAGCCAGTCTCATGACACGACACTTGAAGAGTCCGTCTATATCATAGTCCCAGGAAAAGTCAGTCAATCGCTACAAATTTGATCAACCTCACCGCCCGCCGGGCTAACCAGTGCTACAACAGACCATTGGGTAGACTTACTCCTTTGGAATCTACCAAATACCTGGAGCCGTTCCGCAAGACCTAGAAGTTAGCGTGAAGAAACCAATTGGCTTAAACTAGCTCATGATAAGGTGTTGATATAGGATAGTGACCGCGCAAGTTGACAGGCACGTTACGCTAGTTCTTGTGTTTTGCTAGGTGCACGCTATTTAAACTTCCCAGTGTACGTTGTTTTATAATATATCCTTGTCACTTTTCGTTTTAAATATAAGTGGAAAGTTAGGTGTAGTTGCGGTTTTGGTCTGTCCTGAAGAATCTGTTAGTAAGTTATATTTCAAATTAGTTTGGAGCCAGTTTGCTCCATTATACCATACCATAGTCTACTAATTCTGTGCAGTAGTATGTCTTATTTGTTTATAATGTTGCATACACTCAGATTCTCACAAAAAATTAGAGGCTTTGCGGCAAAAAGTACAAAACTATGTAAGCTCTAACTGCATATCCTTCGTGTTATGCTTGGATGTACCCAAACTAAATAGAGAATAAGAGATTAGTGGGGGAACTCCGTAGATTCACCCTTTACGTGGTTCTGTTTTTTAATGCTAAATTCGAGTTGCGCATGTGGTATTAATGGCCATTAATATATTGATTGCTCTTTCCCCTTGTACCCAGGCTACGAATCTCTATTTTTCTCTATTCAAAGCACAGATGATAAGGGAATGCCTTTAATCTCAACAACCACAAGCAGTACAAAAAAAGTAATTGGACAGAAAAGCGTGTACTAGTTATAGTAACCTGAGGTAAAACCTTGACTGGGTAATACTGAATATGAAAGTGTTTTTATGGCCAAACTCTTTTACAGAGCTAACTCAAAGTCGCGATTCGATAAATGCTAGTAATATCTTTTGTACTAGCACCTAACAGGAAATCATGCAGGGTTAGTGAGGAGGGCGATTAGTTCCCCAATCCCTTCAAATAGTCGAGACACTAGCTAAATCTGAGAAGTTTTACCACTGCAATTTATATCCTTTATAACATTATCAAGACTAGAGATTAACCTCTTACAAACAAGTAGTGTATTTGCAGCAAATAGTACCGTCCACTAGCCGTAAACAAAGACTCACAAGATATGTCCATAAAACTTTCGTGCTAATTCTAAATTGATGGACAATTGATAAATCCTGTATTTCGAACCACAGAATGCACATTGGTTGCCCATAGTTTGTTATTGTCACGAGAACAAAAACCTATAGAACTTACTAAAGGTCATGTTTATGGGTGGTTTAGCAAAGTTATTTCTTTTGAAGCCTTTTAAAGAACAAATTTACTGGATTACAGTTTTTCTTTTGTACTTTACGGTTGGGATTTGCCAACTTGAGTCATCTTTGGGGCCGACTGGCGAGATATCTGACTACCTGTTAAAGGATGAGTATACTCTACTGCAGTCCGTTCTTTACTGTTATACGATCTGTTACATGGCCGTAGAAAGTAGAAGATATAAAGAGACTACAGATGTTTGACCGTAGGTGTCTTCTGAGCATCGCTAGCATTTAGTGGAATCACCATGTTGGCAATATCATGGTCAGGTGAAGGGTACTAAGCAAGACAGGCAAGTCCATTGTAGGGGTTGTGGACCTTTACCGTCTGAGATGGGTTGGACATGTGTTGTGATTCGAAAACCGCCATGACCGCTAATGAGGCACGGATATCGAGTGTCAGCCACAAACGTTCAACAAATTCCTAGTTGATTTCCGACCCGAATATATAATTTAGAAGACACGATGGACGTGTAGAAGCGTGTATTGGGGTGGAAAGACAAGAAAAAAGGAAAATGCGTCTGATATATAGATCACCGTTTTAAATAATGCTGTTGACTGGCTGATCCATCATCTGTCTTACTGTTGACATGATAACATAAAATGCATTCTGATTGGTCCCTCTCTAGACTGTTCTTCTCTCCCTATTTCCATATCAATGTGTCGAGCCACTACCTACTTCTACGTACCATGCTAGGGCGGGTTGCATTAGGTTGGAAGAGAGCTGAGTGTGGCCACATCAAGACGTAGCACCAGCCGATGAAACCTCTGACTCTTGGTCTAAGCATCGTGGGTATCATATAAACTACCTGGTTGACGTTTCAGAAACGATAAGAATAAGTGGTTGAGGACTCTTGATAACATGGCTGTAAATTGGTCACAACCGCGCAGACATATTCTCTCTTTGACATTTTCTGAAGGTTGAATATTTTCACCGACCTTCATTTTCAAGATCACTCTTCCATGCACCTGTGTCTGCTTTGATATCAGTTTTTTCCACTCACTTGTTCTTCGCATGCTACTGTGTGTGGCAAATTTAACCGATACCCTTGTGTGCGATATTCCACTTAGAATTTTTCTGTCTGTCTGACATTTAATTAATGTCAGCGTTGGTACGAAAGGTCCTTCTGGCATTAATCAAGTTGTTATCCCTGGTGCCGCAGAAACAAACTGATGTACAAATGAGCTTATCGTACCACATTCTCCTCCATTCCACCTTACTACTCTAAAACACAAGTGCTGAAGTCGTCAGGAATTTCAAGGTTTTTGATATGATGTTTTTACATTATTACCGACGTACGATGGAAATGTCAATTAGTCGGGGGATATTCGATATGAAAGGCTATTCTTTTGATTTAATTGTAAATGTGCACTGTGTACCTCAATACGTGATGCTGCCTCGAGTTGGACTAGCTGATTAGAAAGCTGCTGGTGATCAGATCGATGTGTTGCACTAATCTGTGCGATTTCCTGCTGTTCATAGAACATCATCATCAATATCAACGTTGGACTAAGCATTACTGCGTGACGGTCCAAGTTGCCACACCTCATATCAGCACATCAGGTAAAAAAGTAATCAGATCGAAGGTGAAGAAAAAAAGAAGAATCGGTCAAAAGCAGTTAAGAGAGGAAGGAGAAATGTAAAAATGCTGAATTCAGTATAGCGGTTATGAAGAGTAGCATCCCTGGTCTCTTAAAACCACACTCTAACTTAGATATCATTATCGCAACTTTCAATATGTGCATGCTCCGTCAATTAAGTGGCAATTTGAGAATCCCAGCCTAACAGGGATCACTTGCTGTAACTGTACTCAGAAAATCACGTATTTTTTGACCATCACAAACTTTATATATAAGGGGAGACACTATCTGATGTCTCCAACAACCCCCACTCCACGGTGAACATATATAGACCATACTTATATCAATTATCGCTGACGAGGGTTGGTAGAAGATTGCCGCTCCTTCTGGAACACGTGTCTGGACACTGACCACGCGTTGTTTAAAGCATGTGTGTGTCTGTGCCTAAAGGAACGCAGAAAAACTATAGCAACAAAACCATTTCAAGTGAAGCTTGACAATAAGAACTCTAAGGTTGCCTTCAGCGAGGAACTGGCCAGAGAAGCCTAGTGTCATCTGTAGTCTGCTATGAAAACAGCGTAAAAGACTGTAGTTGACCCTCAAAAGAAGGTAATAAGGAGTCAGTTGACCTCAATAGCTGAATTAATGGGTGCACGTGAACGCATTCCTAAAAACTGATAATAATAACGAGCCAAAAGCAGTTCGAACGTTGACCGCTGAAAAGTCTACCCAATGATCTCAACCAATGCTAGACTGCAAAGGTGGAAGAGATAAGAAAGGCGGCGGCGATAGGTAGCAGTAGACAGTTATGTAGACTGGTGATGTAAATGGGAGCAAAAGAAGTCAATCACTATTGAGACTATAACGGAGAAGGATAGGTTTGCTATTCACTTTCATGAGGACTGGAATGATCACAGAACACTCCGAGGAACAGCTCAATAAACCTTGGGTTAGTCTTCGATTGTCAGTTATCTAGTTGGATCCGGAATCAAACATTCAGATAGAGCCTCTAACTCTTTGAGAAGTTGAGAAGGCTGTAAGTAAGCTGAAGCACGGAAAGGGAGCAGGCGTAGATGGGTTAGTACCGGAGGTATTTAAGGATTATAGTCGAGGATATTAGGTTTGGATAAGTTAAGTGTTAACTAGCGTATGAGAACCAGATATGATCCCCCTAGACTAGTCTCAATCGTTTACTAGATTTCCAAAAAGGAAGGGAAATCAGTTTGACAAACAGCCTAAGATCCTAGGTTCTATAATCATTAGACGCTTAAAGTAAGCCCAGGACGGCAAACCAGACCGTTTTCATACCTAATCATGGGTGCATCGACCAGGTATTCACTTTCTGAAAGGTTCTGGCACACCAAGGCCCGACATTATCTGTACTTATTAACGTAAGGTGTTTGACCACATTTGCTTTCATAACAGTGGCTGCATTATGAAGAACGAGAACGTTAGTAACACAAGTGATGTGTAGTGTTTAAGGTAAAAGAGATAAGTCAGTTGATGGTGTTGTAAGCCTTCATGAACTCAGGTGGCTGGGACAGTTTACACATGCCTAGTTACTGTCTACCTCGTCGCGCAGTATTAGCTAAAGATCAGATTGAAAAAAGGTTGTGGAGTGTATAAATGAAATACGAGATATAGCTCAGAATCGATCACACTGGCTTAGATGCATCCACACATTACTTTAATCGTAATTGTCATACAAAGTTTCGGTAGTGTTTTATCACTTCCTTTGGTTTTTTAACGACTTTTTACTGCTTTTCACCACCTTTTTCCTTATTTCTTCTCGTTTTATCTCGACCCCATCTACCTTCATGTGCTTATATAGGGTGTGGCAAGCTAAATTATTGCTCAGGAATGCCAAATTCCATGTTTATCCCGACAGACTGAATCGTTTTAGAACTGAACCATGCAGTTAAGCGTAATTAGCATGGTTTCGGTCTCCAGTATGTAAGGAATGAATTTTTGAATACCTTTTGGTAATTTGGCTCAAAAGTAATCAATATGTTGTATATATATTCACTCAGTATTTAAACAATTTCGAAAGTCTTATTGGCTTATTATTTGTTTTGAAGTTGGTATTCATCATAGACTGACATCAGTTGGAGGAACCACTGAGGAACTAGGAGCCCTGGGTATGGGACTCCTCAGCGACATGCACCTATCACCTCTCCAGCTATTGAGTCCAAGACCCTGGGGTTCCATGACGAACATGTTTCCAGTGGACCAGTGAATTTGGACCCAATGGTCCATATCTTCCTAATTCTGCCAGTTCCCGATATAGCGCCATCTTCATCCAACACCATCATTGAGTATCTGTCCTCATGTCCAACTTGGTTCTTCCCACCTGTCACTACTTTCATTAGAATTTCGGGAGGTCGAAGCGCTGGACAGTAATTGGATTTGGAGGTTTTTGTGGGGATTTGATTGATTTCAGGTTGTTATTTATACCTAGTGCATCACATTCTTCATATCGTCGCTATTCTTCTTTATTCCCTTCCACTGATTTCTGCATGTGTGACAGTTTAACCTGTTTATGACTTATTTTAGGGGATTGAAATCCTTAATGTAGACAAAATAGTTGAAATAATCTTATCTGAATGTTTCTTATGATTGTTTTCATCACCGCCTTATGTTTAAATTTGTATAAATGCCTGCTGCGGTGTTTTCTCCTTATGATGTATGCTAACCATATAACAAAACAAACCTTTCATACACTCTTTCTTCCAGTTGAAGGTTTGACTCTTTTCAGTTATGAAATTATTGCCATCTGTACTGCTCATGACGTCTTTCTTCTTGTGGAACTGTGATCCATTCCTCTAGGCATTTGGATTTCTACCTACAGGCCATAGGTTCAAGCTCGGCCCTACCTACCAAGGTCAGCGTAACCAGTTAGTATCATTAGCTCCCACACTACTCACTGCCCAGTGTAAAACGTGCTCAAGACCTTCGATTTTCTTATTGTTTGACAACGATTGATGGATTCTCGTCAACTGCTGTACAACCTACATAATATAATATGTAATAAAGAGTCATGTTATGCAACGTACCTTGATAAGTTGACAAGAGTGTTTCTATTGTTATAGAAGGTGACCGTTTTAATCACCAGTATATGTTCCAAGTTGTATATATATCTATCTTGGTCTTTTCTCCTCTATAGTATGCTCATCAAAGTAAAAACGCTAACTGGTAAAGAAATCGAAATCGACATTGAACAGACTGACAAAGTTGATAGGATCAAAGAAAGAATTGAAGAAAAAGAAGGCATACCACCACAACAACAACGATTGATTTTCTCTGGTAAACAAATGAATGATGATAAACTTATTCAAGAGTATAAAATCCAAGGTGGTTCAGTCATTCATTTGGTACTTTCATTACGTGGAGGTGTATACTAACCCTTCAAACCTCCCTGCCTACCCTTTGTATCTCATTTCCATGGAAAAGTTGAAAAAATGTGTGTGTTTATGTTTATTTATATCATAGGGGAAAAGAGGGTGTTAAAATCCTCAAGTCAATCTCATCTCATTTTTATGATTATTATTATTTCTCTCATTTCCTACTGTCTGCGTCAATTTCTTCTTTTCTTTCCTGTATTCTCAGATGTTCCATTCTTCACCTGTGTATCTTTGTAAAGATTTCTTCAGGCATCTTACTTAGGTTCATTATCTTTTTAAAGTGTTTAAATGAACAACATCACTGTTTCTGCTTCCGTGTCCCCCTCCCCCACCCCTCCTGATGTATGATGATTCATAATTGAGAAAACAAGAAAAGATATGAGTTTATGCAGTTCTGTCTATAAATAGATATATTTCCAATCTGCTTGGGTGAATGTAATTTCATTTGATCATAATCTCCCTAATTGTTAGGGTGACTTTAAAGACTACCCTAACAACAACTGAAATAACCAACCAAACTATTCTATTTTATAAAAATCTACCTTTCCAACTGAGATAAAGAAATCTAATTGGTTATTTTGATCGTTGCTAGGGTGACCTTTAAAATTGCCCAATTGTTGGTGTAGCATAAATTGGTGATTACATCTACTAGTTTAAGTGCATTAGTTAAAATTTATATTATTATTATTATTATTATTATTATTATTATTATTATTATTATTATTATTATTAGTCCCTTGGGTTCCTAGTGGAACATAGGGCTTCAGTAGCACGTCTCCAGTGAATTCTGTTTTCTGAGATCTTTTGAACCTGGTTCCACGACAGCCCACAAGCTCTCATTTCCTCCTCGCACGACCTCCTCCATGTCACCCTCGGACGTCCAACTCGTCGCTTCCCATGGGGATTCCACTCGAGGGCCTGACGCTTGATGTCCTCAGTCGGCCTTCTCAGTGTATGCTCAATCCATCTCCACTTCTTCCTGCATATTTGTTGGGTGATAGGTTCTTGGTTGGTTCGTTCCCAGAGCTCCTTGTTGCTTATTTTTTCTGGCCATCTGATCTTCAGCAGCGAGCGTAAGCAGTTGTTGATGAATGTCTGTAGTTTATTGGAAATCCCTTTGGTGACGCGCCAAGTCTCTGAGCCATACTGAAGCACTGACTTGACGTTGGTGTTGAAAATCCGTATCTTGTTCCGCATGCTGAGTGCAGAAGATCTCCACACCGGTTTCAGGCTAATGAACGCCTGTCTTGCTTTTCCGATTCTGACTTTGACGTCCTCGTCTGTCCCGCCTGTAGTTGAAACAGTGCTTCCTAGATAGGTGAAGGAGGTTACTTCCTTTAAGTTTCTCCCGTTGACGGTGATTGGAGTTTGCTTTTGTTGTTGATGGTGGTGGTGCGGTATCTTCATCACCTCTGTCTTCTCTATATTCACCTGAAGTCCCGTCTTCGCTGCCTCTTCTATCAACTTGTTAGTTTTTAAATTTTGAGGGGTTGTGGAGATTTGGAATTATTTCAAGTTGTTATTCATCGAAGACTGACATCAGTGCTCCCAGGTTTCCTTTGTTCCTCCAACTGATGTCAGTCTTCGATGAATAACAACTTGTTAGTTTTTGCCTGCAGATCTTCAAGTTTATGTGACATCAGGCACAAGTCATCATTGGCGAAATCCAAGTCTTGTAGGTTCTTTTCCGCAGTTCAGTGTATCCCCCTCTTCTCACAGCTCCTCACTGTTTGTTGCATGATCCAGTCGACCACAATGAGGAATATCATGGGGGATAGTAGGCAACCTTGTTTCACTCCTGTCTTCACTTCAAAAGCATCACTGAGCTAGTTAAAATTTATAGCTGAATTCAATTGGTTTTTAAAGCTTTAGCCTACGTTCATAAGTGTTTCAATGCAATCATTGCAAATTCTCCTATTTTTTCACAAGGAGTGATGTAACCGAAATATGGGCTTTAATAGGAATTGAACTAGCAGCCTAGTGCCTATGTGACGCACCTGCTGACTGGGTTTCCATTTCACCTCAAGAAGGAAGATTTTTCCATTGCTGTCTTATGTGTGAGCGATAGGTAACCACCTGTTCATCATCATTACACTATCTGTTAAAATCTGGTTGAACTAGAAACGTGAAGTGGTTGATTAGCTGTTGGTGCGATTTTCTGAAATAGTAATAGTTTGATAGACTAGTGACTAAAGGCGGAACGGAAATGGAATTAGTAGCAAGATTGAAATCAGCGTTCTGTAGATTAAGCACAGTCTGCCAAACCACACCAACAATCCTAATTTTAATATAAGTGTAAAACTTGGGCACTGTGGTAGAATGTAATTCCATATTAGATTTGTTTATTTGATATATAGCGCACAATGATACAGTATTATTTACTTGATTTCGAAAGAAGTGTGGTTACATTGATATGATTATGAGCAATGATAATTTATGCTCGAAACGTAATCAAGTAAATAATACTGTATCACTGTGCGCTATATATCAAATAAACAAATCTAATATGGAATCCTAATTTTGTTCAAACATAGGAGATAAATAGAGAGGAGTAAAACAAGCAGTACTGTAATGCTTTAAATCCGAGAGGTATGTCAAATTTTTCTAGGCCCGGCGAATAGAAAGTAGTCGCTGTATGATTCGAGACACTATTTGAAAAACACCTTCAAAAGTTAAACAGTGAACTCACCAAGATATCGAACCGGTACGACTGAAAGCCCTTCTAAGCTACTGAACTACATGCTTGTAAATAAGATCAAAAGTGTTCACATTAAGTGAAGTCATACCCAACTACTTAAGTCAAGCAAGAAGCTCAACACAGTTGTGCAAACTTCACTTCAAAGTTTTTTTCAAGTGAAGAAACCCAATAGTTAATTATTCGGAGACACTTTAGGGGGGTTTGAACAACCGATGTCAACTAATCAAAATCCATATCTGTCCAAATTAATCAATCAATCTTGGGGTGAGTAGATAAGCCTTACTTTATTCTAAAGTAATTTTGAGGTTAGGATTCGAACGCAGATTGACTGTTAACTAATCTCAGAACATAAGTCCCCGCCCCCTTTGATATGACTATGGAAACTGTGCGGTAAAATCACTACAGATTCCACTGCTAACCACCAAGTAAACTACAATATAATGAATATACGGGCATAGGAGCCTATCTGCAAACAGAGGTCAGTCAATTCAACTCAGTAATGACAGATTAGAAGTATCAATAAACCGTAACCGTTACCCGTTGTAAACGAGGTGGCCCTCGTGCCCCGATGACCTGGTGTATAACTCTATGGCGTTTGCTGCGGTGTGCACTAGGTTCGAGTTCAAGTGGGAACATCTCTCACCGGGGAGTGAATACATACGGTTGACGAATCTCAAATGGGACGAAGCGCCCATCCTGGATTCTGCTGCTAGCTAAAATAAGGTCACTGCAAAGACTATGAGTGGATGGTTTTACTCTCCGGAGTGTCTGAATTCTTACGAAACTACGATGGATTTCACTCAGTCATTTATTATTATTATTTGTCCCTTGGGTCCGTGGTGGATCATAAGGCTTCAGTAGCACGTCTCCATTGCACTCTGTTCTCTGCAGTCTCTTGAACCTGGCTCCGCGACTGCCCATGAGCTTTAATTTCCTCCTCATATGATCTCCATGTCACCCTCGGACGCCCAACTCGTCATTTCCCCTTTGGCTTCGACCCGATGCCCAGGCCTGGCGCGTAATATCCCCGAATGGTCCTCTCAATGTATGCCCAATCCATCTCCACTTTCCTCTTCTGCATATTTGTTGGGCGATGGTTCTTTCATTCAGTCATTAAGTGTGACTCAGTCACTGGTTTCGAAACTGACAGGATGTTAATAAACCACTTTAGTTTTAAAAGTGCATCTTTGATGTCTTAATTACCCAGCAGTAGGAGTTACCTATTGTAGAACAGAAACAATATGGAATCAGTTCCCATATCAGATGCAAACAGTAGTATTTTTAAAACAGTTTGAAACTCCAATGACTTTTGAATGCAAAGTGGTCTTGCGAATTATGTCTGCCTAAGTAATCAATCCGCCGTGCAATCATGCTACTGTCCACCCCAAACAAAATATTGGACCGCATCATCCTGGAGAGACCAAAAGATGCACTGGATTCAAAATTACGACCGGAACAGGCTGGATTCAGGAAGTACAAATCATGTGCGGAATTGCAACGCTACTCATACAGAACAGAGCACAGAATGGCAGTCAAGTCTCTACCTCAACTTCATCGATTTTGAAAAGGCCTTTGACAGCGTCGACCGACAAATAATTTGGAAGGCGCTGCTTCAACACTACGGTTTTAGTGCCACGAACCTTTATCAACCTCATTCAACAACTATATGAAGACGCCACATGCCTAGTGATTCACAATGGAAAGCTCAGTGACGACTTTGGAGTGAAGATAGGAAGGAGCAAGACAAGGTTGCCGCCTACTATCACCGATCATCTTCCTCATTGTGGTCGACTGGATCATGCAGGAAACCATGAGGTTCTGTGAGAAGATAGGCATATGCTGTTTGACCGATGAAAAGACCCTAGAAGATTTGGATTTAGCTGCCGATGGTGATTTATGTTTAATGTCTTGTCGCACAAACTCGAAGATCTACAGGTGAAAACCAACAAGTTGACAGAAGAGGCAGGGTAGGGTGGGGCAGCGAAGACGAAACTTCATTCAGGTGGATGTAGAGAAGACAGGTGATGAAGATACCCAACCACCAACAACAACAAGCACCAATCACTTCTGTCAGTTCACAATATAGCACATGATGTCCCCAATCGGTCTTCTCACTCTATGTCTAATCTAATCCAATCCATCTCCATTCTCTTCTTCTGCATATTTGTTGGACGACGGCTTCTTGTTTCGTTGCCAGCCAGCCAGCCAGAGTTCCTTCTAACTTATTCTTGTTTTCCTGGCCATCCATCCATCTGATCTGATCCTCAGTATCCAGCCAGCCTACATACCAGCTATTGATGAA